CTGCTTAATGGGCAAAGTAGGCCCAAGATTTGTAAGAGTGTCAAGGAGTTAAGTGGGGCTCCAGCAGGTGTTTAAAAGGTGGAATGTCCTGAGCTCTCCAGCTTTGAAAGAAAAAGTATAGCAATGACAGCTGTTGAGTACCATTTTTATTCTGGCATCCATATTCAGTACAACAATTTATTTAAATCCAAGTGTCCTGTTCTCTCCAGGAGGACAATAGGCTGCTTAACAGCAACTCAAATTAAGAGTCTTAATTCTATTGTATGACAAAGGGAAAGAAGCATAATAAAGTGTCACAAGGACAGAAAAATGCTTAACTGATAATAGGCCAAGTGCTATTCTGGTGCCTGTCAGCCCTCCTATTACTAAATTGGGCTCAAGTCCAATTATATTGATTGCTAATGATGGGAAGGCAAGCACAGCATATATTTGATGGTTCAGTCCTTGACCATGCCTGTTGCCGACAGAAGATGAAATGTAACACTCTGCATTACGTAAAGCATAACATGAAAATATTTTAAAGCCTATCAAGTTAGTTAAAACAATGGCTTACCAGTGTCATCTTGATAAGCCATAACCTAAACTCAAAAAGATATTATCAGTGTATTTTATATATTTTTCCTTTTATCTAATCCCACCTTTATGTATACTAATGCATCATATACATATCAAAAAATCTACAACAGACAGAGGGACAACAGACCTAACATTTCAAAAGACGTGGACAAAACTGTATGACTGGTATAATATAAATGCATAGTTTAAAGTAATGAAGTTTTTGGTATTATTAATCTCTTTTAGTTAAATAGAAACTATGGTAAAAAGATAAGAGTATACAGAAACTTAAGCAAAACCATAGAAAGTGACTTAAGAACATTTTTAAGTATGGTAATAGAGTTATAAGAAAATATACTGATCTCTTTGTATGTCTTATGTATGTAAGTGGTTGTTTGTTTATATGTTGTATGTATGTGTATAATATGAAAAATAATAAAAGTGTACCCATGGGTACTTTAAAAAAAAAGAAAAATCTACTGTTAGCATAACAATATTTGTTGAATATACTACCAGACCTTGTTGTGTATGATTAAATGTTGCTTACAATAATTGATGTTTATTAGGAAAGTCCATGTCCTCTGAGAGAATTCCTGCTCTTAGGTTCCTAAAAACAGTGAAGGTGGGTGGGGGGTGGGGTGGAAATACACTTTAGCCATTAAATTTCACTGTATGACATTCTCTCTTAATTTTTCTCTGTTCTGGTAACAGGACTGGCTCAAGGTTTTTGTGGGCCCTGGGCAACAGTTCTGATTGGGTATGTACCATCTGCTACACATATGTAGACACACATCCAGAGAGAAAGACTGCAACATTAGCCTGTTTCTTACTACACGCCTTTCACAGGAGAAGAAAGATGGAAGAACAGCCTTCAAGAACAGCTTTCTTCACCCAAAGAGTAATTAACACGTGGAATTCACTACCGCAAGAAGTGGTGGCAGCTACAAGCACAGCCATCTTCAAGAGGTGACTTGATAAACATATGGAGCAGAGGTCCATCAGTGGCTATTAGTCACAAGGTATAGATGAAACACTATGTCTGGAGCAATGATGCTCTGTATCCTTGGTGCTTGGGGGTAACAGTGGGATGACTTCTGGAGTTCTGGCCCTGCTGGTGGACCTCCTGATTGCACCTGTGTTTTGGCCACTGTGTAACACAGAGTGCTGGACTGGATGGGCCACTGGCCTGATCTAACATGGCTTCTCTTATGTTCTTATGCTATTTTCAAGCCAGAACCAAAAGATCAAAAAAAAATAATAATCTGTAATGCTGTAACTCTGTAGGTAGGCACTTAGAGCTTGAGTATCATCTCTATCATAGTGAACCTAACAAGTAAACTTAACAGGGGGGAAAGCAAAGTATGAACTGGTGCTACATAACCTTGAGTGATTACAATTCATCAAGAAGGGTAAAAGAGCTCAAAACTTCACCCAATGAGCTTAAATGCATACAGACTCCACCCAGACTCTGCCCCTGAACATCTGGTCAGGACATTACAAGCTGTGGCTGGATGGTTACAGCACAGCTGACTGAAACTGAATCCACTGAAGATGGAGGGTCCTGCACCTTGGCTGGGGGCTTGGGTATCGAGCTCCCAGCATTCGACAGGGCCCCGTTGGTGCCAGAGTCAATAATAAAGAGCCAGGCGGTGTGTTCCTGGATGCCTCACTGACTATGGAGGCCCAGGTCACCGGCACAGCCAGGTCTGCCTTTTTCCACCTGAGGCAGATCAGGCAGTTGGCCCCATACCTCTCCCCCAGTGACCTGGCTGCAGTGACCCATGCAATGGTCACTTCCAGATTGGATTATTGTAATACTTTCTACATATGGCTGCCTTTGACTGTGCTCCAGAACTTGCAGCTAGCGCAGAATTCAGGAAGCACGGGTGTTGATGTTGATGCCTGTGTGGGCCCACATCCTCCCGGTGCTGCATGAATTGCATTGGCTACCTATTGAATACCAGATCTGCTTCAAGGTTCTGGTGCTTACCTTTAAAGCCCTATAAGGACAGGGGCCTGCATATATTTGAGACCGCCTCTCCCCATATGAGCCCCGCAGCACACTGCGTTCTGCAAACCAGCATCTCCTGGTAGTCTCTGGCCCTAAGGATGTCTGACTTGCCCCAAAAATGCCCTGGCCCCCACCTGGTGGAATGAGTTCCCTTATGAGATCAGGGCCCTGCGGGCCCTGTTACAGTTCCACAGGGCCTGTAACACACAGCTTTTCCTCCAGGCTTTTAGTTCAGGCAGCGGGCATCCACCTGATATGGCCTCCCCCTCCAGTGACCACAGATTCTATATTGCTGGTATAAACATCATTTGTTGAGGCATATTGTATATCCAGTGTTATAGTGTTTACATGTTTTAATCTTAATTCATTTATATGTTCTTAATCTTAATTGTAAATCTGTGCAGATCAGTTTGTCTGGAATCCACCTTCAGCCTACTATGTGGGGAGGGTGGGGTATAAATTTAATTAAACTAACAAACAAATAAATAAAATAAATTCTAGTGACTGCTTCACTCACACTAGCATATGAAGGAATCCAAGAATATAATTTGCGTTATCATATGAACGCACACAGCCTGAATCATATGAGGAGGGAGGAAAAGGGCAGCCTGAACCATACGAGGATGAATTTTAAAAAGCCACAGCCTGTACCATCTGAGGAGGAATGGAAAAGATCTAAAATCTGCAATTTCTCTTTTAAGCTGTTCTTCTGTTCACACTCCCTCCCCCCAACCTTCTTGACATGGTTCTCAGGACACAAATAATCTCTTAGTTTTGTACAGAGAACACAAAGAAGCTAGCCCAGCAGCACTTCATCATGGTACTTTCAAGCTTCCTTCCACTCCACATACAACTAAACACTCATAACGTTCTTCCAAACGGTCCTTGGTGTGATTGGAAACAAGTCATTGGCCACACACAGCAGGTGTGCAGACTAATCATTTTGTAATTATTTTGATATACCACCTAGCAGAACTGTCAATTGCTCAGATCAAGGATGATTAATTTTCAGGGCTTCACTTGTCAGCTATTCTTTAGCATTTAACAGAAAGAGAAAACTGAGTACAATACATGTACCATTTTGACCCTGTCTAAGCCAAAAGCAAGTACTTTCAGATACCTATAGCCAAATAATTACATACGTGCCCTGGTTTTTGTTTTTTTGCAGAGTCCCTAAGTGAATACTAATTCTTTTTTTTTATAATATATCTTTATTAAGTTTTCAACACCTATAAAACAAATACACACATAAACAACCACCACCAACATACCCCAAAACTGTAACTCTAACTTTAACTAATACCTTTCCATGTCACATTAATCAGATAGTTACTTAGTTTCTACATTCTCTCTATCCTCCTATATATCAGGTAATATTTCTCATTGCATACGTTCCTGATCAACTTGAATTTCATTTAATTATTTCTTTGGATTACTTAATTCATCCTATACTCTGCTGGAGTTTTCACTTTGCATCCAATTTCCACCTATTTTTTGTGCCAGGTTAATACACATAATTAATGCAGACAATTTATGCAGTATATGTTTAGACATCATAAGTCCATCCTACGCAAAACTAATTAAATATCTGTCTCTGATTCCAGTGGTCTCCTATTAATCACCTTTATCCTCTTATCTCATAGGCAGACCATCCATACAAACTCAAACCAAAAATATGTTTCTGTTTAAACCAACCCCGTAGAATCTTCCCTTCCTATTATAGTTTAATTCTTTTCATACTTTTCTTCATAGTTTACCTACAACCATTCAATAATTCAAAGATAATCTTCATTGCAATATCATACTTATCTGTTTCTTTCTTATATATCCCTATACAGCTAGAACAGCCCCCACCACCAATTACTAAAGGTAATTTGCCTCCTATCAAAAGGTAACCGCACTTCTCAGCTTCAGAAATCTCATACTGCACCAACTTACAACATTAATCTCCAGGACAGAAAAGCATATCTACAAAAGATTTTCTAGTCTTAATGTTTTTATATATTTACATCATAAGCCTCCAAACGTTGTTGCACATTGTCACTGTTAAGTTTAGTTTCCAATCACTATTACACACTACAATGCTGTTGTACTTAAGTTCTTTTCTACTTTGATTTTCTCTGTTTTCAGTCTTATGTCGCTGATCTTTATACTCTGTCTTTCCATTGTAGCCTTATGTCCCGGTCCATTTGTTTGGTGCCAATGTCTGTAGCTTCCTTTGAGCCTTTTTTGGTTTTGTTTTCCCTTTTTTCGCCTTTTTTCTCCCATGCTGGGGGTTTCCAAGACAAAATTTTTTTACCCCTTCTTTTTTCTCAGTTTCCCCCTGTCCCAGGGTGGCCAAAGAGTCCCATTCATACAACTTTTCCTCTGTCAGTAGATACTGGATTTGCTGCAGCTCAATCTCCTGTTTAATTAGCTGTGATTCGTTTCTTTCTTATAACTCATTTGTTTGGTCTGTGCTATTATTGTCTATATCAGCTGGATACTGTGCATTCCTCAAGAGATTGTCCCATACTGTATTAAGTGCTTTTTTCAGTTCATCTTGCAGGGTTTTTTGGAACTGTTCAGACCTAAGTTCACAAATTACTGTCTCTTGTACTTGCTTGCAAACGGCAGCAACCTCCATTTTGTTCATAGTCTTTAAACTACTTTCTTCCCCGCAAGCATCACGCATAAACAATACGGGTTCCTGTAGCCCTCTTAGATTCTGTTTAAGTTCTTAGCAGAGTAAAGTAATTTTCAGCAGATGCTGTTTCTTACCCCAACCGTCGTCTTCAAACTCAGTTCCCAAAGTATTTTCTCAGCCGCTTCAATTTATCCTTAGGGAGAGCACCAAGGGGGTGTTAACGTGGCATTTTGGTTCAGCCCTACTGTAAAGTGCAAGTATCTTTCAGGTAGACATGGAAGATATCCTTCAATAAATTAAAAAGAAAGTAGTTAAAAGCACGGCTGGCAGCTGCTAGTCAGGAAACATGGCGACCATGTTCCCGGTCTGCTCAGCACTCCCGCATCGAGGCGAGCCGGTCACCCCCCCGTCCTTGCCAGGGAAAAAAGGGGGGCGGAGAAGCCTCCTACACTTGGTCTCCCTCCAGGAGAACCAAGCGGAGCACCCCCGAAGTCCGAGGGGCTCCGAAAGAGCGCATGAGAGTCGGCGTCCCCGGGAGCTCCCAGGAGACACGCCCGTGCGCAGCGCCGCACCGCCGGCAACTCCCAGTGAATACTAATTCTGTGCCGAGAAAAGCAACAGTCTTTCTTCTTAAGCAGATCTGCGTGCATCTACTTATTTAATATCATTTACTCTGAATGGAGTGAAGTGGCTCTAGGTAAAATAGGAAGTCTGTGCCAGCTCAGCATAGTAGATACAGACGGGGCAAAAGGAGAAAACGGCCTAAGCAATGTTGGCTTTTTGAACAACTCATTTCTATCCAATGGGTTGGACCTTGCATCAGCATGTGAGAAATGGGCAAAAGGGATTTTTGACAAGAAAAGCTTAAAGAAACATCTTGCTTTATTGAAATAAAAATCTATCACTGGATGCTGAATAAAGATTGCTTATTGGGATTAAAATGCTAAGAAAAACAACCTGCTGGATAAGGGAACTGAAATCAAACAAATCCAAAGGTAGACCACCTACAAGATTGAAACTGGCTGAGGAAAAGCAGAAGTTACAAAAAGAGTAGGGCCACTACACCAGAAATCAATAACAACCTGGAAAGTATCTGGTTATTCGGTGGAACTATTGACAATACTTTTGCCTATTGTGCCAGTAAATCTTAAAGGTAGATAGTTAGCGTAAAGGAATTCATTGTGTGTAATCTCACCTAAGTAATATTGTATTTTGCTTTAGTTTTAGCTAACCTAGCAGAAAGGAGAAGTTGCCTTGGACAAAGAAGCATTTCGAAAGAAGACAAGGATAGGAATAGAAAGTTCTGTGGTCTTGGGGACCCTACTGACAGGAAAAAGTGTCTACAAGAAGTAACCACAATCGCTGAGGAATGGGCTTGTGATGTTCCATGAAGAAATGTCAGGAGAAACAGTGAAGGAGATTACCTTATTTGAAGTATAGGCAGGAATAAATAAACATTGAGTAGGTGGGCTAGGGGGTCTTGAGGGAGGGAGTGGTCTTCAAGAAAAAGCAGAAGAACAAATATGGGCATTACGCCACGGGGTGTAGTTAAGCGGTCGTGATTGGAGAATGTACATTTTGGTTACCAGCCAATGGTGGCCAAAATAGGGCGTTTCTTATTTTCCATACCTCTTCAGTGGTAGTATATCTAGGCTGATTAACTGAATCAAAGGTGTGTTCAGTTCTTTTGAGCTGTGCACCCACTCTTGCAAGACGTGTATCCAATAAAAGATTATTCTGCTTCATTGAAAAGGTCTGTCTCCAGAAGTTCTTTATTTGGTAAGAACAAATTACATTCCTATCAAGCGGAATAGGATTCCTCCCACCAGCTGCAGCACAAAATGACCCCCAAACTGTTCCTCCTGAGGGACAGCACAAGTGGGTAGCCTGCAGCAGGAGAGGAGATTTGGTGAAATTAACCCCCTTCTTCTGTTACCGGACGTTTTCTGACAGATCTAACTAAATCGTGATAACTTGCTCCTTTTCCCCCCAATGCAAATGTAAACAGAGATTCCATAGATGCAAAATTCTGTGCTCACTCCAGAAGACGTTTCTGCAGTGGGTGCCAGATGTTCATCAAGTACACACAGACTGTCACCTTTCCAGGCGCCCGTCAAGTGTTTTTAGAAAGTGAGCGGGGCCAGATGGGGTTTTTCCACAGCAGGGCTTCTGACTGGCTGGGCAGATTTTAAAACATTGCTTTGACAGCACCTGCTGCCACAGCACAAGGATCTTCACTGAATGACTGCAGATAAACTGTGTGTAAACAAGGAAATATTTTGAACAATATAGTCATCTAAATTAGGTGTCAAGCAAACCAACATATTCTCTATTGCAGCAAGCATTCAACGTTAGTCATATTTTAAATACTGATGGTATTGCTAGTGGTATTTTTTTAAAATATCATTTCATATTGGAACCGGCCCACAAACCAGCAAAGCTAGAGGTCCATATGCACAGGGGCATATGCACAGGGGCATACAAGCACCCAGCACCCTCCTCAAACAGCCGTGCCTCCCTTCTTCCCGCCGGGGGAGGGGAAGCATGTCTTAGCCCACACTTGGCTTGCTGCCAGTGCGATTGCAATGCCTGAGCTGCTTTGGGAGGTGCAAGACAAAGTTCCTGTCTTTGCTCTCCTCTCGGATTGCCTGCAAAGGTGGGGGGGGGGTTGTAAGAAGGAGACACGAGAAGAATAGCCCGTTAGTGCCAGGGGTTAAGCGGCTGCTCAGGGGGTTATTGTCCTGAAGCTGCTGCTAGCTAGCCAACAGAACCAGGTTGTATCTATAAAACCTTGAGGGGCTCTACCAGCTCCTTCAGCAATGCTTGCCAGCAATGTTCCCTCTAAGCTGTGGAGTCTTGTGAGCAAAAATTCTACTTTGTGAGCTACTGGCATTAAAGTTGTGAGTGAGCAATCTGGCTGCTGCATAAATTGGTTTGCTCTGGAGCCATCCTCCCTGAGCTAAGGCAAAAATGTGTGAGCCGGAGCCTAAAAAACTGTGAGCTAGCTCACACTAACTCAGCTTAGAGGGAACACTGCTTGCCAGACATCTTGGACTTCTGGGGGTAGGCTTTGATTCCAGAGCTGTGCACAGCACTTCAGAGAGAATACAACTCCCAGACACAAATCCAGACCTTTATGTATTATTTCCAAACTGCCCCAGGTGCTGCTCCTCCCTCACTTTTTACCTGTTGACTCTGACCTAGCCACGTCTGTCTTCCTAACAACAACAACCCTCTGATGTAGTCAGCTCCACTGTACTAAACTGCCCCCTATCGGAAGCATTCTTCCACTCTAGGCATTGTGTGAGGGCTCAGAGAAGCTGTTCAGAATACTGATGAACTGGTAGATGGGGAGCGCAAGGTAGTATTTGAACTCAGCTATCAGTATCCTTGTCCCTCCTGCACCTAGAGATGAACTGGCCCTTTAACTTACTGGGAATATTTCTGCAGGGGTCCTTCCTGAACAAATGGTGTCATGGGAGGAGGGGATGGGTGACTCTGTGTTCATGCCTGCACACTCTTTTCAAGAGCCCAAACATCAGGATCGACATGTTAGGTTTTCATGTTGTAATCCAGCAAAACAACACTATCATGAATAAACTGAATTGGTTGCATAGCTGCAAGAAAAGGACCACATTCACCAATATATTTGCAAACCATCCAGTCCACCCACTTCACTATAATGGGTAAAACATTTATGTATCTGCTTCTGAGAAAATTCAAAACAGATGGTACCTGAGTCTCAATTCCTTGCTCGAGCAACCGTTTAGCCTGATTTTCCACCTCAAGTCGAGCTCTTGCGATAAAGAGCAGGTCATTTTCAATCACTTCTATTCCAGAGAGGTCTATTCCTTGAGAAAGGTAATCTATAAAAGTAACAGAGTTTTGACATATTATAAAAAGTCTGACAATGAGAATACAAAAAGTTACACCTTTAGGTGTTATTTCACATGTCACATTTTCATATCTGGAACACTTGATAATAGCATGCATTCCAACCAATTATTTTACAAGGAAAAAATACTATTCACTAAGTTGTGAATATTCCAACAATGTACCAATTGAATTTGTTTCTACTAAGTACAATCAAGGTGATCAAGAGAATATTCCAATTCAAGCACAAGAATAATGCATTGAATCAAAAAACGCACTTCCACATGCAAAAGGCACTTTCTGATCCTCGGAAGGCTGGTTTACATCATGCCCTTGGAGGGCTTCTAACAGACCTGCAGTGGAACTGGCTATTTCTGGCACTTTTCCAGTTCTGCTGCTGCTGCTGCTGCACTGCAGCTTGCTTTACCAGACTCTCTCAAGCGCACAGGACAGATTGAAAGGCAAGCCTTTCCTGTGTGATTAAGAGACTCTGGTAAAGCACGGGCTAAGGTTCCTCCCCCCCCCCCGGGGGAAGGAAGGAACCAGCCATAGCTCACTTCCTGGCGAGGCTGCCTCAATCGTATACAGGAAACAAAGGGAACCCTTTTTTTCTTTCCACTGGCTGAGGCTTCTCCCTGAAGGGAGGGAGGGAACAAGGGAGAGCTTGCTTTGCTGGGCTGCCTCAATCACACGGGAGAAATACCAGACAACTTTAAGACCAACAAAGTTTTGTTCAACATATGATCTTTTGTGTGCCTTGCTACAGTGTGTGTGTGTGTGTATTGTTGGGCTCCTTATGCCAGGGCTCTCCTCGGTACAAATGGGTTCCCTCCCCCTTTTCACTGTAATTATGCCTTCATGATACAGTCTCAGTAAGAAAGCAATGTGAACTATTCTAGAGGAGGAATAACAACAAGTGAGTGAGGTGGATTAGACTGAGAGTGTGTGTCCAGACGTAGTTCACCCAGCACATTTCCTTTGTAGGAAGTTGTAGTTATTTCTCTGGGGAACACTATAGTTTTGTAGACAAACAAACAGCCTTTGGTCTGTGGCAGGATGCCTCCTCAAGTTCTTGACGAGTATATGAAGCACTTATGTACAAACACTCACAATGCCCAACATTTCAGGTTTCCCCTGGGCCCTAGGCTCAGAATACTGAGCATAAGATTCCCATAAATCAAAAGTAGGTTTGCAGCTTACAGATACAAACCTGAACAGCATACTCAAGATTGTGACAGCACAGATATTTTGATTCAATAATTCAGGGCAAGAAGTGTCAGTTAACAGAAACTGTTAAATAGACAATGTACCAAGTGAATTTGTTGGATCAGGCCAATGGTCCATCCAGTGGCCAAAAATACCAGGTGCCATCAGGAGGTCCATCAGTGGGGCCAGGACACTAGAAGCTCTCCCACTGTTGCCCCCCCCCAAGCACCAAGAATACAGACATCACTTGCCCCAGAGTTCCTATCTATACCTTGTGGCTAATAGCCATTGATGGACCTCTGCTCCATATGTTTATCTAGCACACCCCTAGAAATTGTACACCCCTAGAAATAAACTGCCCTAATAAAACAAATCAAAACCATTTCTTGAAGAATTCCAATCCCAATTCATTTTTATTTCCCACAGAAACCCAGCATTTGAAGTGTAGAAGTAATTTCCTCTTGCTCAACGGCACTTAAGGCAGATGATAACTGAATATTGCTCTAAAGGCACTGAAGTGTATCACAGAAGAGACAGTCAATAAGTCTTTACATTGGTAAAAACTCTGAGTAACGCCTCTCTCCAGAACTATGTCATACAGCTCTTCATACCAAAAATGCCAGTTTTTAAAAACAATCAGAGCCTGTTGCTGCACTAGAATGTTAGTATTAACATTTATTATATTAGACAGTGAAAACCTATTTTACAAATAGGTATTAGCTTGGATCTGGCCTAGAATTTCCATAGCTGCAAGGCAGGGGATTTTTGCAGCTTTCTCTCCTGTGTATGACCTCAAATTTACTGAACAAGCTATTTCTAGCTGTCTCAATCCTCCAGAAGTGGAAATTTGGGGATATTGTCGGCTGCCACAGGAGGGGGTAATTGGTAAAAATCACAACACCCCCCCCCCATGAGGCTGTGGAAACTTTAGGTGGGATAGAAGCCACAATTCCTCTACAATCACAATGAAATTGAATTAAAAATGGACCTATCCTAATTAAAGATTTCTTGGAATAAAGGATGTAAGTTGTTTCACTCTCCTTGTGTTTTCAGGATTCTTTTTTTTAAGTTACATCTTTATTAATTTCCAAAGAAAGAAGAAATAAGAACAAGAGAGGTACATATTCTTCATACTTGCACATATCCCTCAAACATAACAGCTCATAGTATTGTTTTACTGTATCCAGAAAGGAAAACATCTCATCAACTCATGTAGACTAAAAATTTCCCTTACAATTAGTCTAACATCAAACTGCATTTTTTGTTGAAGATACTTCTCTAATCAACAGGTCAGATTTAACAATTACTTTCTTCTGGCTATCCTTCCTACCTATGTAGCTTTTTAAAAAAGAGAAATATAAATACAAATACTCTTATATAGATAAGAAACAAACTCCAATTTAACTTCATATCGAGCAAGTCCTATTCTTGCCTTCCCAACAACTTAAATTTACCATTGTACTAATCCAATCAATATTATTTTTCCCAGTCTCATTTAACATATACTAAATATATCATAATAAAATTCCTAATCTATTAATGTCATATTTCTATTTTGATATTCTTATTTTACAGTCCCATAAACTATGTGTATTGTTACCCTCATACACTAACATATCAATATATCTAATAGTGAACTGGCCCCCTCTGTGCGGATCCTTAAATCCGGACATCGGGGGCACTTGGGGGGGAGGGAGAGGTTTGTGCACAGGTGGGGAAGTCCCCACGTGTGCACAAAAATCCTAAATGGTGACAAAAATTTCAGGGGGATGTTTAAATCCCCCCAAAAGTGCCAGAGTGTTCCGTGCGCATGCGCACGGAATGCTCTGCAACCGAGGCTGCCGCCGCCGCCGCTTGGAAGGGAAGCGGCGAGTGGCGAGCCGGGAGGGGGGGCCAGAGCGGTGACGGCCAATCGGCCCTCAGTTCGGAGCCGGGGGTGGGGGGTGGGAAGAGAGAACTTCGGGCTGGGGGGGGAACCAGCAGCGACAGCCAAGCGGCACGCCGCTCGCCCGTCACTTCAGGGCCAGAGGGGGGGAACGGCGAGGAGTGGGGGGGAAGGCAAGGGGGGAAGGCAAGGGGGTGGAGGACATGGGGAACCAGCGGGATGGGGGGTACTTACATCCTCCTCCTGCTTCCTCTGCCTCCCCCCCCCGCGAGGAGGGCCGGTTGGATGGCGCTCTTGAGGAGTGGGGCGGGCTCCCTCTCTGGGCTGTGGGGCTCGGAGCCGGGGGGGGAAGAGAACAAGTGGAGACCCAACTAGAACACAGTAAGCAACATTTTGTTGCGGGTCTCCACTTGTCCCTTATAATTTTAAACACCCAGAGGAAAAGGAGATCAGTTTTTTTCCTTTCTTATTTTAGATTAAAAACTTCAACACAAATCATATTTAATATAAACTTTCTTATTAAGCTAGAGCCATCCCCTATTGAATATATTCTCTTAATAACACTAACATACAGATTCTTAATTTTGCCAGCTCTATTTTTAGTAATCATGTATTAACAACAAAAGGGATGAAAATAATAACAATAAAAAGTTACTATGTTAATACAAAGATTCCTACTAACACTACAAGATTCACATTTCATTATGCCTCATTCTAATCAATTACAAATAAAAGGGTATACAGAATCTCCAAATCATTTCAGTCATAATACCTATTTTTCCCTATTTTTCTGTAGTCTCTTTTTTTAAACAATCATAATTATATGCCTTTCTCTTTGATTATACGAACCTCCACTTCCAGATCTTCCCATTTATATTCCAGTGGGGATTTTATCAAGTTTTTAATAAGTCTGTTGACTTGTCCCGTGTAGCTCTTTATTTTCTCCTTCACCAGCGGGACCAGCTCACCAAATGGGAGTTCTTGGTAATTCTCTTTTGCCATAACTTGAAGTGGAAAATTCATTATCATTTCCCCGGGTCTAGCAATTTGTCTTGACCAGGCTTCCTTTTTAGGTGTGGGCAGTATTCCGTGTACTGCATTACTTTGGTTAGGGTTCTGCTCATTAGCTGGGCTGTACTGTGTCTGCGATTTTTCTATCTTGTTTTCAGTTCCTTGAAGTGTAGTCTGCTTTTTTTTTTTCAAAAAAAACCTTCAAAAGCTTCTTTGACTGCCCATTGAATTTCGTGTACCAGTCTTTTTAACTTGTTCCCAGGAAAATTGCTCAATCTCTACGTTCTCTGAGCTCTCAGCATCTCCCGTTCCAGTTTGTACTTCCATTCTCTTACACTGTAAAGCTACCGTCCAAGCCAAAATTTCCATCCCCCCCCTTTTTGTATGTAGTCAGCTAACTCACACAAGTCTACTCACAGATCATCTCATATATCCACCATTGTAGGGGGCGGAGCCTGGCGCTCATACATGGCGGCAGCATAGAAGGCTCTCTCCTCCACCGACCTCGCCCTTTTCAACAAAACAGCTATCACAATCGCTAAAAAATTCTCTAATTTCAACATGGGAAAGACCGGAACGACTCGGACGACTAAAAACTCAATGAACTCCCACCAGCTAACTCAATATCTGGTCAAAGAAAAAGAAAAAGCTTTCAGCCAACGGAGCAAGGATCGGCAAGATAAAATGGCGGACCACTCCTCGGATGACGACGACGAAGCAGCGCTGTCTAGACGCGAATTTCATGCTACCATCAATCATCTAGAATCGACTATTGCTGAACAGATTCAACATGCCCTGAAACCCTTCTCTGAGGAGCTGAAACAAATTACGCGGACCTTAGCGGAAGCCTCCCAGGCGGCAGAAGCCGCTCTAGAGACAGCAATAGAATCC